TTAACATCAGAATCTTTACTAATTTGAAAAAGGACCTTGATTCTGGGGAAAGTTACATTTTTATGTTTTTGATCGTGATTTCAGAAGACATTTATTAGGTCTATTTGGTGACAACATTAAGAATTAACAGATTATGTTGTTAAAGCATAAAAGTTTAATGGCTTCATTAGATAACTATAAAGTCTGTTACTTAAGAGAGAAATACTGTGGTATTTGAAATTAGGAAATATTTATTGAAGGACTCTCTGGGGTCCAATTTCTAGAAACAAGGCAAAGCTCAGCTATTATGATCTAAATAAGTAAAAAATAAAAACAGAGGAGCAATATCTTTGTATGTTTGATGCCAACAAAGTTCCTTAAAATCTAAGAAAGTTGTCAGTCATGTGGGTGCTTTGAGTTGGCATGTTTTAAAAGCTAAAAATGGAAGGCAAATTATCATAAGAATTTTTAGTCTCTTTCCAATGTGGGAAAAGGGGTCATTTTTGTCTTGAGTCTGGTGTGGGAAAATAGGAGCCGTGGGAGTCAGGGAGGGCCCACTTGTTAGTGCTTGTCACCAGAAAGCAGGGGCTGCTGAGTCTCACCCTGTCCTCTAGCAGACCCGTCCTTTCAGCATAGACTTCTTCCTGCTGCCCTTAGAAGGGTATGCGGTGCTCTGAGAAGTGATGCTCAATGCCACTGTGGGAGCACGAGCACTGTCTAATGCATTGAGGCTGAAAAGTATAAGACACCCTGCATGCAGGTCTCTCAGATAAGGGGCAAAATGGCTTCTTCTAGAAAAAGACAGTTAATAGGGGAGCATGAGGGCAAAAAGTTCTTATCAGTTTGGGAAATCTGCCTACCATTGTAATAAAAGTGAATTGAAACAATTATCTGAATAGTTCAACTAAATTCTCACCAAAATATGTTTTGGTCTGAATTATCCAGATAATTGTGTTATAGTGCAAACAATTGTGAACTGGGAGTTGGGATCTTGATTTCCACCTAGGGTGTCACAAAGGAATGTTTAAGCTCCTCTATGAGCCCTGGTTTTCATCTTTAGGATTAGGTTCTATCCAAGAGTCAGTGAATTTGACTTTGTGCTTTGTGTGTAAACACACATCCCCTGAGGCAGGAAAATGTCAAGTTTGTGAAATTGTGCACTAATGGAAGCAGAGTGGGCATAGGTAACTTTCTTCAGTTATGCTTCCAGCTCAAGGCCAACCCTGGGAAGAAGCCCCTACAGTGACCCATCTTTATTGGCTGAGGATGAGACTCTATGTTATCTCTCTCTCTCTCTCTCTTCCCCCACCCCTCTCTCTCCCTTGCTTCCTTCCTTTCTTAAAAATCTGACTCCAAACCTTAATTAAATTGGTTATCCATATGCTAAGGGACTGCAAGTAAGCTAGGCAGAGGGTGAAGTTGTCCACTGCTTTGGCTCACTCATGGGCAGCAGAGCTGGGGCCCAGAACCAGGGGGCATCCACCAGGCAGCTTCCACAATTATAGAAATTGGCTTTTATTCTAGAAAGGGGCGCTAGGCTGAGCAGAATGTTGTGTTGTTAACCAGAGAAGTGTTCAGCTCCCAAACGCAGTGGCCTTGATCCCTGGTGGTGGGAAGGGTCTACTGGGAGACTTGAGTAGGTCCCAGGCACTGAAGTGATGGCTCAGCTGGGACGGCGCAGTTGCCCATTTCTCTTCTCCAACTTGTTCATGTGGAAAGGCCTGGTATAGTCTTCTAGTGGGTGAGGACACCGGGACTGTAAAACACCAATGCGGGGGCTAGAAATTGGTTCTCAACCTACATCCCTGATTCCAGGCAAGCCTTATCAAAGAGTGTTTGCCAAACTAAACAGACCCCGACCCCCACTCCGCAGTTCTGCGACCCCCACTGCTGCAGCTTAGGAGGGGCGAGCTAACAGCAGCGAGGAGTCCTGGGCCCTGGGAAGGGCGGGCTGTGTGAGGGGCTGGGCTGGCAGAGGGACAAGCCCACCCGCCCTACATGCGCGGAGCCCCCAGTGTTCTCTGGCGCCAGGCAGGAATCCAGTTGCCTGGGCTGATGCCAGAAGGAAAGATCGTGACCTGGTCGCATCGCCTGGCTGCGGAGGGGACCGGTCCTGAGAGAGTGACCAACCTGTCATCGCTGAAGGCCCGGATCTTGGTCGAGGTGTGCAGAAAGGGTGCGTCTTTGGAACTTAAAGCACGCCTGCAACTTTCTGCTTTTCCTGAAGAAAACAGGGGCTCGTGAGTTTGGGCCCCTTCGCCCAGTAAGTAGAGGCTGAAACTGCCAGGGATGGAAGGCGGGTGGGGAGGCACGGGCAGGGCTGGGAACCTCTTCGTCCCACTCACGTGCTTGTCATTTGGGTCGTGGGAGTAGGAGCTGGGTCAAGGAACACTAAACAGGGGAGCAAAGGTTACGCGACTCTGACCACGCTCTAGGAAACCTTACAGTACCTGAGGGTCAGAAGCTGAGAAGCTGAGGAGCGGACCGCAGTCCACCTGACTCAGGCTCTGGGAGTATTATTTATGAAGGAAGGAGTTTTTTCAAGGGAGGAGAGAACAGCTGTGATTTTAAAAACATTTTTTTTTTTGCATTGCTTTTCAATACAAATCAGTGGTGACTTAAAGTCTCCTTTTCAGAGCTGTCATATACTATGTAAAAATGAGAATCTTGGCTCTACAAAACTGGTATCAAAGGCAACACTCTGCCTCTGGAGACAAGGCAGCAGTGGGAAAAGGTCTGCGGAATCAGAGATGGGAAGCAGCTGAAGTTAATCTTATTAGTAAGAGTGTGTTTTCAAGAGAAAAGCAAAGATTGGTCATAGGTCCTGATCATTTCAACCATTGACTCTCCTCCTGCCCGGTCTGTTTCAGTTTTATTTCCAGGTCTAATTATTAGCCTTGTGATACAAACCTCCACTTAAATGCCTGCCTTTTGTCATAACTCAACCCCATTATTATCACTTTTCATGATACTAGGTAGATAGAAGGAAAATCAGTCAAACTTGTTAGCTAGATTTAGGGATGGGCTTTCCCCCTCCCATTCCTGCCAAAAGATAGCACCCTGAAATAATCACCCCTTTCCCCCCACCTCACAATATGTTGTTTAGAAACTATTCTCTTGGAAGAGATGAGATCTGTCCAAGAACATCAAGAATAACAGTGGGGCCTGCATTTCCAGTCTCTGAATTTCTCAGTGTTTGCATTACTCTTTAGAACATTGCAATCTATAAATTGTGAGAATCCCACTGCCTTTGAATTTCTTGAGAAATGGATGTTCACACTTTTATGGTACTTCCTCCAATCAAATCTCCCATATTTTTATTTTTAAATATACTTTATTAATTTTTTACAGAGAGGAAGAGAGAAAGAGAGTTAGAAAACATCAATGAGAGGGAATAATCAATCAGCTGCCTTCTGCACACTCCCCACTGGGAATGTGCCTGCAACCAAGGTACATGCCTTTGACCAGAATTGAACCCAGGACCCTTCAGTCCACAGGCTAACGCTCTATCCACTGAGCCAAACCAGTTCAGGCAAATCTCCCATTTTTAATATGGGATACTGTCCCTTGCCCATCTGAAATGGCACTTTCTCTTCAGATCACAAGGGAAAAGGCCTGGCAGCCCCACATTTACAGAGGCTCTCTTTATATAAAAGGGGAGACTGAAAAAAATACTACAAATGGGTTCACACTCAAATGGACTTTTTGCATTCCTAAAAAGGTAGGTTTTGTTTTGGAAACAAAACAAACAAAAAACATTGACATTCAAATTGCTCTTAAAATGGCCCTAAGGAAATCTTGGGTGATTAAGATAATCACATGCCAAGAATGTTTCCAGTTTTTTGAGCCCCAATCAGGACCAATTTGCCTGAAAATGCTTGCTTGACTATAAGCTTGTTGATAATATCAGCGATTCTTGGGGCCCACACCTTCTAAATTGTTCTGTAACTCTTAGGAGAATTCTTACAGAGATCATTGGTCTTAAGTTTTAATAAATCTCACTGTTAGAAGTCCCATCTTGGAGATTTGTACAGCAATCTGTCAGGTAAGAAAACATACAAAATGCTTCTACTTTTATTGAATCATTCAGGGAAATATTTTGACCCCCACAGAAAGTTTCTTTAGACTGAAACTCTCCATCTCCAGCCCATTACCACAAAGTGCTAAAGTCAGTTGTGAATTTTATTTAAAAATAAGCACTATGTCTCAGTTTCATAAAATTTATACATGGATATGTACACAGATACAAATAAAATAACAAAAATAAAAACCACAATTGCTTTCACGTGGCAGTGGTCCTGGCACTTTACATACATAATGTCAACTTTTGCTTTAAAGTAATTTCTTGACCCAGGGAGACCACAGTGAGTGATCACCAAACCATTAATAAAGCTGTAGCTTGTTGCCTGCAACTTTCTCAATCCGGATTTCAAATATATATATATATATATAAATAATTTAATTATAAAACCCAACAATATATATATTTTTAATCTTTTGGCACAGTGAAGCACTGGTCAATTGCAGAGAAATGATGAAGATTCAGACACCTTTCTCACATTCAGTCACACACGTACACATGGAACAGGGGCTCAATAAACCCCAAGCAGTAGTTATATCATTTATCATATGGAATGGTTCCCTGATGTGCTTTTTTCTTTTTCTTTTGTTAGGAACAAATCAATGGAAGGTGCAACAAAAATGGTAGGAATTAGGAAGTGCCTGGGCAGTAAGAAGAGAGGAAAAGTCGGTGAAGGAAGGGAGAGGCAGGCTTGGTAAAGAAACTCAAACAACTATGAAATATTGCTTTGGTCCTCTGTAAAGTTATAAAAAAGGAAGGAAATATTCTGGACTAAGTTTAAACACTTCTGTCAAAAACTCTTTAGCGGTAAGGCACGTTTGATGGAGAATTTTCTTTTAAAGCTCCTTTTCTCTGGACAGAAAGTGCAAAGCCCTGAACGTGCGATAAGGGAGTCTCCTAGGGTGCCCACCCAGAGGGCTCAGCCAGCCAGCCAGCCAGCTCAGGCCAGCAGCCTCTCCATGGGGTAGGGCAGGTGCGCGCCCTGGCCGCGGGAGGAGGCCGCCTGCAGGGCCGCGGGCAGCCGCAGGGGGCAGTACAAGTGAGCGCCGCCCCTGCCGCCGCCAGCCGCGGGGCCTTGGAAGGGCTTGGCGGGGACCGAGGAGGAGAAAGGCGCGAGCTGAAGGTGCGGCGCGGGCGCAGGCTCCGGCGCTCCGTATGCGCAGAGCGGCAGCAGGGCCCCGCCGGGCGCGCCGGGGAGGAGCGCGGGGTACGCGGAGAGCGGCGGGCAGGGCGCAGCGCCCCACTGCATCTGCACCACGGGGGCCGTGTCCCCGTCGCGGCGGCTGCGAAAAGGCTTGCTGAGGATGCTGTCTATAGCGAAGGAGCTGGAGAATTTGCCCTTGGGGCTGGCGCGCCCCTCCTGGCGGCCGGAGGAGCGCGCACAGGGCGAGTTCGGGGCGGCGGGCGTGGGCGCAGGAGTAGGCGGCGGAGCCGTGGTCTCCTCCAGCTTCAGCCCGGGTGCGGGGACCGGTGCCCGGTGGCTGAGGCGCTTGCGGCGGCGACGGAAGACCCCGTCGGCGAAGGTGTACTCGCTGTTGGGGTTGAGCATCCAGTAGTTATCCTTGCCCCAAGGCCGCGAGGGGTCGCGCAGCACTTTGACGAAGCAGTCGTTGAGCGAAAGGTTATGGCGTACGGAGTTGCGCCAGCCAGTGTAGCTGCCGCGGAAAAAGGGGAACTTGCCCATGAGGTACTCGTTGATCTCAGCCAGCGTCAGGCGCCCGCCCGCCGAGTCGCGGATGGCCATGGCTATAAGCGCGATGTACGAGTACGGGGGCTTGGGCCGCCGCGTGTACGGCTTGCTACGCCCGCCCTCACCAACCCCTGCGCCCTCAGCCCCGGGCCCTGCGGCGCCCTCCTCTACGGTCCCCGCCGCCACCGGGCCCTCCTCCTCCGCGGCAGGCGCACCTCTCGCATTCCGCTTACCGCCGCTTATCGCTGCCGGGCTGTTGGCTGCACAGTCCCCGTCCGACCCCAGGGAGTCGTCGCAGGCTGCGGACAGCGGAGAGGGCGCGTTGCTACCTCCTGTGCCCTCTAGATCACTACCCGGCTTGATCTCGTGGGCCGCACGGGGGCTGAACATCTCTGACTCCATGCCCACGCACCCTGTCCTGGCTCCGCGCTGCACTCCTTTCTTTGGCGCGGTCTTGAGAAGCTGGTGCGGGCGGCGGAGTGGCGACCTCAGGTCCGGGAGTCCTTGTCTTTCTCGCCCAGAGAGCTCTCCCTCCTCTTGTGAGAGACAGTCACTTTTCCGTAGAAGAGTCCAATTCCATAGGAATGTTTCGTTGGAGGGGTTGTGCTTATTGGGTGAACTTAGAGGGACGAAGAGGGAAGAGTTGGGTGAGCGCTGTCTTCAGTTCTAGGATGAGAGACGTCAGGGTGCAAGTGTGCAAGTGTGCGGCTTTGACTTCTGCTGCCCAGGCATAAGGGCCTCGGGATTTCCTGCCGGAGGGAAGAAGTGTAGGCATCTGCTCTGTGACCCGGAGGGTTTCTTCACTGAACTTCACAGGTCCCGGGCAGGCGTCCACGGGGCTCGAAAATGCGAGACCCTTGGAGAAGGTCTGGTGTCTTCAGCCCTGAGCGCCCACGGAGACCAGTCCCCGAGGCTGAGGCTCCCGCAGCCGCCTTTCCGTCCCCAGCCTCCAGAGAAGCATCTCCACGCTGGCCTGAAGCACCTACGACTGGCCTCCACCTTCCGCTCAGCCCAATATAACCTGCGGAGGCGTGGCCTGGGCGCAGACGGCAGAGGGGTGGGGGAATAGGGTGGCTTAGGTGGCAGTGGCTCCCGGGCGGGCCGCACCAGGTGGAAGCTACGAGGCGGCGCGGGTAAAAGTCCCTGCGAGCAGGTTGTTGTTTTGGATCCGGCCAGCCCCTCCCTCTGCTTCCAGCCAATGGGAGGTACGTGGGGCTGGGAATGTGCAAGTGTCTCCCTGTGCTCCTACGCCGCAGCCCGCTGTTAAGTTCAGGTGGGAGCGCCCCGCCGCCCAGAGGGGTCTCTGCGCCCCGGAGCTCAAGGAAGCGATTTGGGCGAGAGGGCACAGGGGACGGGACGGGGGAGGGACCTAGAAGGCCTGGGCTGAGTCGGCAGGGACTTGGCTTAAGCTTGTGGCCTTCCTAAGGTATACTCGGTATATGTTTTTGCTTCTCTCCTGGTGAAAACAGTGCTTCTTTCTAAAGTAAACGCCTCAAGCCCCTGAGGAGGTGCTGCACTTAGAGACCTCACTGGGCGCACTTTGCAGTGACCTCTAACGGATGCCACACTGCTGTGCCCAGTCACGTGATTTCCTTTTTGAGGACTATTTTTGTCATAATTTCCTTTTTTAATGAATAAAATACTGGACTTGAAATTGTATAAGTCTTTTCGGATATACTTGTTTGCGAAATGATCTCTGACTTTCACTTTTCCTTGCCTTTACCTGTTTCTGCACCTGACTGGTGGCTCTTGGGGAAAAGCAACTGTGTCTAGAATGAGGCACCAGGCTCTGCCTGCACGAGTGCCCCTCTAGATTCCAGCCAATGTATTCCTGAGTTCCGACAGACAACAGGAACGATTGGGAGGGCCTGTTCCCAGGTAGGGGACCCAAGGCATGACATGCTGATGGCCATTTCTTTCCAATCCTTCTCCTTGGAGACTTTTGCTGTGGTTTCAGGTGGCACCGGTGTAGGAGAGTTGGGGAAGGGGGTACTTTCTCTGCACCAGGAAGTTTGGGACCCGAGATGTCAATACTACAGGGAGGGGCTCACTGACCCTCAGAAGGGTACATTTCTAACCTGCTGCACTCCCACACTGAGGTTTCCTCCTTTTTCCTGTCTTTGTTGCAGATAGAGAAAGAACTGCGAGTACATGGGAGCTCACATTTGATGTTTGTTTTATTACCTTCCACCATTTGTGTGATGTACACAATCCTCTCTTATCTACATTGAGGCAGCATGGGGTGGGCAAAATGACAAGCCCATCGAAGGCTCTGTTATTTTTTGTGTTTGGGAGAAATCGCACGTTTTGGATATTGAACTCACATTGTGTGTTCCAATGGGGAGCTGGTGAGGAATGGCTCCTTTCCAGGGGACGTGCTACCCTAAAGAGGATCTGCTCCTCTCTGGCCCTGGGAGTTCATTGTCCCTTGGACCTGGAGAAGAGAGTAAGCTGGGACAAAGCAGCCAGGTAAAGAGGCATGGGTTGGGCTAGGGATAATGGGCGTTCATAATGAATGACAATTTCCTTTGAACTCGAGGTGGACAGGACTTAAAGACAGGTCAAAGGCAGGACACAGGATAGGACAAAGGCCCATTTTACGGAGGAGATAAGCCCACAGTTGATGTGTGGACCAAAGTTGACTAGTGTAAGGAGGCCTCTGAGAGACTAAAGGAACAAGGTTTTCTGCCCATCACGAGTTCCATTTTGGAGACCATGCAGCCAGCATCATACCCCTGTTCCCATGCAACTCAAATGCCTCACCTCCGTGTTTACAGCAACCTTACTCCCAGACTTGCCAGCTACATGGCTTCCTTTACCCTGGGCAGCACCCTCCTAACTCCATCCCCACTTCCCTCCCAGATGCCCCAGCTCAGCTGCTCCAGGGTCCTCAGTTATTCTGGGAAATTCCATGAGCTTTGGCTTGTTGATAGGGAGGAGAGAAAATGATGCACCACACTAGGCCACACTGCCACTCACATGACTACATGGCCTAGGGCTGCTGCTTGTTGGCCTTTCCTCACCTGTGAGAAAAAGACAATTGAATGAACTCAAAGTCTTCTTTCAAAGTCTTGGACCTGGAGAAGAGAGTAAGCTGGGACAAAGCAGCCAGGTAAAGAGGCATGGCTGCACACTCCATTGTTTGGCACTAGTCTTTTCTTGGGTTGAATGTACAGCAAGTGCATTTCCCCCTTTGGTCACTTCTCTGGGCCATCTGGTGTGAACTCCCAGACTACAGTAGCCCAGGATGCAGATCTGGGGGGAGAGTAGATGGGGTTGTTACCCTCCCTAGTGGGCAACCTGGGGTTTGTGGTTATCTCCCCGAGCTTCTTCCCTCCTGCAGACAAAATGAGTATGGGCCACTGAGAAGGAAGGTGTACTCCTCCCATCACACATCACTTTCACTTTTCTTACTCAGAGATCTCTTTGTCCCAGTAGCAGCAATCTCTTCTTACCATATTCTACATCTCAGGCAGGGAAAGGACCTGCCAATCACTCCCCTGGGATAGACCTTCACCTTGTCTCAGGGCTGAGCCACTGGTGGGCTGCTCTCTGTTGGTTTGGACCCTATAAAGGTCTGGGAATAAGGGAGTGAGATAAGGTGAGAGAATTTTCATCAGGAAAAATTTTTCTATTTTTTTAGGCAGTGGATTTTTGGAAAGAAAGGCCCATGTTAGAATGGCTGACAGGGGGTGCTAGAAAGGATTGAAAGATCCCCAAGAACTAGAATGTAAGCTCTAGGAGGACATGAGTTTTGTCTGTTTTCTCCACTGTTGTACCCCAGTCCTTGCTTTGAGAATGACCATCACATTCTGCCCTACACTGGGAATAGGCTGCATTTATCTTCAGTTAAGATCAGAAATAAAAATGCTCTTTCTTTTTGTGGTTGATTTTGTTGTTATTATCTTTAATTGTTTTACTCTGGGAAGCCATTCACCTTTTGCAGATATAAGAAAAATAGGAATGGATGGGAAGTATATCCATTCACTGCACTCTATCCAGAACATTCTCCAAGCTAGGAACAGTTTAAGAGCTCAGTCACTATTGTTAGTTCATAAATTCCCTAGAAATGCTGGGAATCATCTGTTCCCTAATTCTCAATCCTGTGGATTAGAACTATTAACAAGTTAATAATAAATGCCTATAGGTGAAGTCTGACCCAATTCTTTGTAGGTACAAAAGACCCATTACCCATTTTGCCCATTGGTCCTTAATTTCCAAGGGAATACGTGAATATACTATGGCAAAGAATGAGTTCACATTTCCATGATTTCCTGGCCTCTCGGAAGAGGTTTTCAGCAAAGGAAACTAATGCATCCATCTTTAGACACCAAGAGCTAACTTAATTAACTGTGGGTACTATTATGAATTTAGAACTTTCCATAATTTGATGATGTTTCACTACCCAGTTTCTAAACGCTGACATGGGAAGGAAACCATTTAATTCCTAACATATCTGAGATCACTTGTTAAACGGGAAGCTGAGCCCCATTGGAAACAAGGGTGACTTGTCCCATGCATTAGAACTGGCTTCTAGAATGAAAGGAACTATGGAATCACCTTGATAACACACCCCCGACAATCCAGAAACAGCTTTTGAGTTTCTTGCCATGTTAACCTCTGTCAGAACTACACTGTTGCCTCCTGGGTCTAAAGGGAAGGTGAACTTAAAATTGCTTTCCCATGAGGACATGTACCTCTCGGAGAAGTTTGCTATAATAATGTTAAAAATGAAGAGAACCCGCCAATGTTGAGAGCCCCAGACAAAATGCATAGCTTTGAATCTATGCAAAGTCCCTCCTGGGAGCAGAGAGTTGAAACTAAATAGCCTCTTCAAAGATAAAGTTCAGCTTATGTGAAGAAATATGGGAATAAATGGAGTACTTTGTAGTATGTTCTAACTCACAAGTCCATAATCTGGCCTGTTCCTTTTAAATGCTTGGGAAGATTAAGGGTGGGTATAGGAGCATAAAGACAAACCTAGGTCTTTTTTTTAATTTAAATTTTTATTTTCTTTTAATATATATATATATATATTTCAGAGAGGAAAGGAGAGGGAAAGAGAGATAGAAACACCAATGATGAGAGAGAAACATTGATTGGTTGCCTCCTTCATGCTCCCCAACTGGAAATTAAACCCATAACCTAGGTATATGCCCCCATCAGGCACCGAACCCAAAACCCTTTTGGTTATGGGAGGATGTTGCAACCAACCAAGCCACCTGGCCAGGGCTCTTTCATTGTTTTTGTTTGTTTTGTAATTATATAATACTAGAGGCCTGGTGCATGAAATTCATGCATAGGGCAGGTCCCCTCAGTTCAGCCTGCACCCTCGCCAATCTGGGATCCCTTGGGGGATGTCCAACTGCCAGTTTAGGCCCCATCCCTGGGACATCTCTCTC